GAAACGAGTCGTAGTGATCGGACACGATCATCGTGTACAGTATGTGCCACCGTGTGGAAATCATTCTCGTCGTTCGAGAAACCTGCGTATAGTAGCGCCTTGTAAAGTATCAAACAAACAAACATACAAACAAAGAAATATATAAAAAGAAAAAAACAATGAAAAAGAACACGAGAGAAAGAGTGAATGCGCGACGAACGACTGAGAGAGAAAGAAAAAGCGTGAAAGAGACGAACGTGAGAATGGAAGCGTGAGAAAGAGAAAGAAAGAGAGAGAAAGAGAGAGAGAGAGAGAGAAAATATAAAACATTACCCTAGCGTCAATTTTCTACGAAAAAGAGTTTTCTACAAAATTCACACCATAAGCGTGCATCTTGGTCGCATCGCGCTTATCGTATGAATCTATGTATGTATGCTACACGCAAGCGCTGGTACGAATCTCTTGACGTTTTTCTAATTAGAACATCGTTCGCTAAGTTTGTTACACGAAAAAATATAATGAAAAATAAATAACGTTTTCGCGGAGTGGTCGATCGAGATTATCGACATCGATGTTGTTCGATGTAAAAACCCGACGAGAACGCGGAATAGGAAGAGAGGAAGAAAGAGATAGATAGAGAGAGAGAAGAAGAAGAAAAGCGAACGCGTGAGCGAGAGAGAGAGAGAGAGAGAGAGAGAAAGAGTGCAACCCCATTAAAAAAATTAAAAAAGCAAGCGTAGTAGCGGATATAAAAATTAAGAGCTCATATAGGTGCTTGTTCGAGACGCACTAAATAATTGTAAACCGAATAATGTGGAATCAGATAAAGAAAAAAAAAAAAAAAAGAAAAAATGAAGTGAAGCAATTACGAACTATCGTTCAATTATTGAGTTCCGTATCGGTGTTTTAACTTTTCGCACTCGACCATCCCCTGCGCAACGATCGTGTCGTTCATCTCCTAAATTTTCACTTCCAAAAGAAACGAAGGAATTTTGCGAGTAGCGGTTGATGATCATTTGCCTAAATAGAGTTTCCACTCTGGTAGAAAATTTTTTTGAAATTAACAGATAGAAATCGAGCCGAAATATTTTAATCGAGTGCGCAAAGAATTAAAAATCGATCGAGTATTCCTATCGCTCTGGGAAGAATATGTAGAGGTCTGATCAGTTGAAAATGAGATATAGAGTGGTTATTATAAAGGTGTTCGAGCAAAAGCGACGTTTGCGATTAATATTGGATTAACATATATATATATATACATATATATACATATATATATATATATATATATTTTCATTGTATATTGTAATTCCGTCGTCCGATGAAACCCAATGGTGTAGTATCGTTATAGATAGATCAATGCTAAAAATGAATTTTTGCGACATGATTTGGATTATGCATTCTATACCTGTCGATTTCAGTTCCATCAAGATTTCAGTATGTTCAGATTGATCGAATTATCTGAATTCAATTAACTGTTGAAACTCTTTTACTGATGTAAACGTGTCACTCACTTGACTTCGTTACAGTCTTTCCGTCATCGCGAAAATCAACTGATAATTCAATGAACAACTCATAGATGTAGATGAAAACAACGTGATAATCGTTAGTAGTCGTTTCTGATATAGTAGAGCTCTATTTATTGAAATTTTCTCCAAATTGCATATACATACGTACATGGTTTTGTCAAGACTAAACTAAAAGTACATACATACTTCGCTCGAATCAAATAACACAGAATGATTTTCTTTGATCAAAGAAATGATAGCCATTACGTTAAAAAAAATGAGATTCAACATTTTGAACTGACTAAGACAAATTTCTATTCGTTTTTTCTATTATCTGAACCACCCGACAAATAAGTAGAGTTCTACTACTAATTAATCCAACGTTTATTGAGAAAACGATCGAAGGATAGTGGTTAACCCGGGATTACCCACCTGGGGGTCTAGCGCAGGTACATCCCGGCGACTAGACCCTCACGTGGGTAATCCCGGGTTAAAGGGTTCTCGAAATTTCAGTTCGATTTAGAAACAGAGAAACTTTGTTCACGAAAACGCTACACCATTGTCCACAAAAAAGTGATCCAGGCCCTCTCCCGTGGGCGAGTATAGTTGTGTTTTGCGGTTACGAAAAAATAACAAAATATAATGATGAAAAATAAAAGATATACGTGTGTTTACGAACATGTAAGTGTATATGCGCGCGTGCGTACGACGCGAAAGATGAATTTCGTTCATGCCAGCTCGTGGTTCGAGCAAGCAAGAGTACGTTTAAAATCACGAAACAGAAATGGGGTTTGATCGAACTAGATAGGGGTTGGGATTCAATCGAAGTGATTCTATCATCCGCAACTCTCGGTGTCAACACATACACACGTACACTGATGAAAGTCTCCGTGTTCGTTATATCGGTGTAAACGAATGGAAAGAGAAAAAAAAGGAATGAACGATTTTCGTTACGACCACACCATCGATCATAATTGCAAAACGGTTGGTCAAGAGACAAAAGTGAATTAAATAATAATAATAATAATAATGATTATAATTATAATTATAATAATAATAATGCGCATGAAAAGACTCTATAGCGAAGGAACACATTATACTTCCTGAGACATGTACGCGTGTACTTCTTCTTGTTTCCGGTTCTTTAGCCTGCGATTAAATTATATTTTACTAAAGGATAAAATAAGAAAAAAAGAAAAAAACTGCAGATAATCGAATAACGAAGCATAAAGAGTAACGATGCATGCAAAATAGAGAGTAAAAGAAAAAAGAAAAAAAAGAAAACAATTAGTGGCCACGAATTATAAGGCGCAATTGAATTTAAAACGCGAAACGAGTTCAACTATCACAGAAACAAACAAAAAAAAAAAAGACAAGAACAACTATTACAACTAAAGAGACAAGCAAAAAAAGAAAAAAGAAGAAAAAAGAAAAAAAAATGAAGAATATGAAGCAGATTAGTTCTTTTTCTAACGAGCGAATCGTTTTTTAAGTGACACGTAGCTGGCTAATTAGTAGTTACATAACTGGCCAATATACTTTTATAAACTGTACGAAAAATGGAAAAAAACAGAAAACTATAAAGTATTCACGCGCGTTTAGACATCAGCACTTTTAAAATATACTTGCCATAACGAATGCCTTAGCAAACAAACAAAAAATTATAAAAAATAAAATATAAAACGTTAACTGTACATTGACGACGATGAGGATATAATGAGGATATAATGAATATATAAGTATAATAAGTATACATACGATGATCATATACATTACATAAATACATACATATACATATACGAACAAAAGGAATAAATACGAGAAACAAATTAAGGAACAGAGCCAGAAAAGATCCAATGCACGCGTCGGAGATAACATTCGAAAGAAACTAAGTGAGATATACATACATACATACATACATACATACATACATACATACATACATACATACATACGTACGTACACATATATACATGTATACCTGCATTCGAAACCGTGTGTATCTGTATAAAATGTACTCGTGACGTTGTACTTGCTCCTTGTATATTTTATACATTTTACAGTTAGCGTCATAAATGAAAGGAAATCAATAAAACGGCAAAGCGATCATAACGATTAAATTAAACAAAATAAATCCAAATGAAACACGTATACACGAGTAAAATATATACATACACGAGAAAAGGAAACAGTGTACATGAAACCTCTCAGAAAGCGCACTAAAACTAAAAGAACAAAAAGTATAAGAGATGATTGATGCAAAGTGAGAGTATATTATTAAATGTATTTAGATTAAGATTGAATTATTAGGGAGGACGAGAGATTTAAAAAAAAAAGAAAAAAAAATAACAGAGGAAAATTAAAATACGATCATTAATCGTGTACATAAACATCGTTGGCAATATTCGACTTCGCCCGTCCATTTAGTTTCTAGACCACACGTCTCTACGAATTGTTCCTTTCGAGCCAGCATCGAATAGGTCAGAAACGATTGAAGATAATTTGCGCCTGTAATTCTTGTTAATCTATCGTTAAACACGTTGACATAATTTAGTCGAAGTGTTTTTCTTCTCGAACAGAGAATAATTATAATATTTTAAAATATATCATTGTTTATGTTTAAGACACACTTCCAAGTATTCCAAATTCTCATTCATTTTCTTGTTCATCGTTCATCTTCCATTCGTTCATCGTCCATCTTACTCTTATCATTGTCATTCTCATCTCTGACTTCTGGCATTTCCTTTGATCATCTCCATTTCAATTCCATCGTCATGTTTCTTCGAAATGATCAGGTTTTGTACATGTGGTGTTAAGCACGTGGTATAGCGATACAATATAACATTCAATCAAAATGAATTTACGAATAAAATCTGACGACATGGTACAGAATATGTATAATGCTAAATAATTTAACCATTGATTCATGGTTTAGTTTGTTATTTCTTTATTTTATCACTTTGGAATTCTGTTTACCATCCCTCTGTTACGATCCTTATTGATTTCCTCAGTGCAATATGCCTTATTTGATTCAATGCAATTTATAAATATTTATAATTTATTACCTGTCTATTTATTACGTTCCTACCTATTCTTAACTCGTCATCTATTTTCTTTATTCAATTAAAAAAGAAAGGAAAGTATGTGAAATATATTTAGTAATTTACGTTAGCTTTAAATTTATATTAAAATACATAGTAATTAGTTATTCCTCCACTGTATGCCTTTCGAATAACCGAAATGTTTAAGACTTGTGTTTCTAATTGCTAACGAAGGGTATTATTCCTACTGAATAATTGTACAATATACGAACATCTTTACACGCATTTCAAGTACTCACATTCTGTACAAAAATTTATAACTACTAACTAATAAACAAATTTCGGCAATGAGTTAATTAAACTTATAGTTGATTTCATGTTTATCTTTCTTTTTCACAAAGAAATGCTGAATTTATTTATTTAGTAGAAATCTTTTTTTTTTTGTAGAAAAGAAACATAGAATAGCTTAGAAATTTTTATTCGTTTGTCGATTGGTATCGAATCATTTAGGATGACAATGTCTAATAATAAACACAATGGCGATTCAAGCAGCTCTGAAGATGAAATATCAAAAGATGCATTAAAAGAAGCGATAGATCATCAATTTCTGAAGAATGAGTATTTTTCCAACGAAAAATCTCAAAATTCAGATGTTTTTAAGAAAACAGATGAACATAGTAAGTATTATAACCTCACTTTCTCTTTTGCTTTGCATATTCTACTTCTTGTCACAGAAACTTGCAATAATTGACAATAAATTCTCTATTTTAGATGACTTAACAAAAGATACTAATGTGAGAAATCTTGTGTCATTAAGAAAAGATTTGGAAGAAAAGAAAACATTTTCTAATTTTGGTGTCAGTCCAACATTTCAGAGTTTTGTTGCAAAAAAATTGGATGAAATAATAGAAAAGTACGTAATTAATTTAACAAAAAAGACTATCAACTGCCTGATTAATTAATACATGTTATATAAATCTATGTTTATATATTTATTTGTCACATACTAATTGTAAAAAAATTTTTTCGTCAGATCGATCAAAATAAAAAAGATAGACATAAATAGTATTACAAATAAAAGAGAAGACAAGGACAGCAATTGTGGTATAAAATTACTGAATTCCTCTGTGGAGTTTTTAACGACTGAAAAAGAAGATGAAAAGCCTCAAAGAAAAAGAAAAATTAAAGCAACTATAGATGATGAAATGAATTTGTTAAAATGCAAACAAGTAGCTGTAGATCCTGAACAAATATTGTCAAAAGTTTGGACTAAAGCTTGGACAAGTAGAAGGAAAGGACCCGAATTCAATTACAAAAAATTGAAGAATGGTACTTTAGTTGAAATAACCTAAACCATAGGTTAAGTTCAATTTAATATAAATTAATTTGTAATATATAAAAAATAAATGTTCTGTATATAAATTCTATTATTTAAAAATTTTGTTTTTCTTCCCTTCTTATTGTATAATGATATAATGAAACATTATTTTTATCATTGTATTGTTTTATATACAGTGACATTCACATATTTGAGTAACAGGCTTGATAATTATGAAATTAATGAGTTGATAACAACCCATGGGCCAGTGTTAATAGATTATACGTTAAAATTCTAGAGTAATTTGCAACAAAACTATGGATTATCAAGGAACAAGTTCCAATACAGATAATATTTGTAAATTGTAGGTATTATATTCCTAACCTTAAACTGTGTTTACAAACAATATTTGATAGTATAAAATTGCATAAATATATTATAACTTTATTTATTAATTTTTAGGTGTAATGTACGACCTTGTATATATACTTGTCCACAATGTGAAATAAGATATTGCAGCTCTATTTGTTATAAATCAGAAGCACATTCAGAATGTTCAGAAAGTTTCTATAAACAGTGTGTAATAGATGAAATAAAGTCTCACGGAAAAGACACAGAGGGTAGAAAAAAAATGCTAGAAATTCTCAAAAGAGTACATGAAGAAGATATAAAAAATATGGAAGCATTAGCAAGTGATGATGAGATTGATAATGATGAGTTAGAAGAAGAACTTGATTCAGATGATGACAATGATGTAATTTGAATTCATGTTAATACCGTTAATAAAGAATATCTTTCCTTCATCTTTGCTCAAACTACTGTATTTTTTAGATACCAGATTTAGAAAGGAGGCTTCATAATATAAATTTAGACAATGCGGATGAGGTATGGTCTGCATTAACAGATGCTGAAAAACAGGAATTTGAGGCTCTGATAAAAAATGGTGATGTAGAAAAATTTCTACCTCAATGGATTCCATGGTGGACATATCATACCAAAAAGAAACTTGTGCAAGATATAGATCAAAAGGATGATGAACTGCCACCTCTAATAGATGTTCCAATACTTATGGCATTGCAAGTAATCTTCAAAATTATTTACATACTTAAATCTAATTGCAGAAAAATTTCAAATATATACTTAATTACAGAAAGCTTCTCCAAATGTTGAGTTTAATGTACTAAATGTAATTTATGCATATGCATACATGGCGAACTATCATAATGGTGACTATTTGAACTGTCCAGTAGAAGCTACAATTGTTTTTCTTGATCTTAGTGATAATATGAAACTTAATACAATCTATGAAAATTCAGAATCAGCAATAGCTTCTGTTGTTCACAAAATTACTAATGTGAGCGTTATAACATTTAACATTTTACAATTAGAAAATTACAAGTAGTAAGAAAAATTTAAATATTTATTTACTATTTTTAGTGTAATTGGTTATCACAAGATGAACAAACTTTATTAGCTTCTAAAGAAGCTGGTAATACAATAATGCATGGGCCTGACAAGAAGAATGAATATCTCTATGTTGCTGTTGCACTTTCAGAATTACACAGATTGTTAACAATGACGACAGAAGAAATATCGAAAAATAAAAGTAAGAATGCGAATAAAGAATTTTTCAAAAAGTTTGTTCAAAAATATAACGTGGATAATATAAATTTATCGAAAAAACAACTTCTTTTACATCTTAAGAAATTGGAATACTATTTATCATGGACTAAAAATCGTCATATAAATACTTGTACATAAAAGTATTTAACAATTCATTGTGAGATATTCTTAAATAAACTTTAGAGTTTTATATTTCCAACCAATAATTTCATGATTAAAGAAAATTCACTCACCGAATCCTCTTCTTCAGCAATATATCTTCTCAATAATTTCACTTTTCGTACACTTAACATGACAACACAAACTTTTTAAACATTAAAATTAAAAATTTATCTGCACATTAACGTACATGTCATTACTGTTAAAAAGTACAAAATTCAAACCTTAACTTCGATAAACGGAATCGATATATCGACTGTTTATTTACTTTGATACATTGTGAACATAGTCGCGAATCTATTCTAATATTTCGGGCGCGAATTTTAAATACAAAGATAGTTTAATATTTTAACTTATCACTTTATTATAAGCTATTTACTTATAATGTACCCTTATATTATAAGTAATGTTCGTTAACTCATTTTTACCTGAAGAAAAATGTAATAAATTTGTGATAATATTCTTTCATAGTTAGCAATATTGCTAATATTTAATTCATTTATAATAATTAATGCTAATACTTAATTCATTTACTAAATTTTTAATGTAATAAAATTAATTAGAAATTATTCCACTTATAAATTTCTATTAAACTAATTAAGTAATATATATATATATATATAACACATCACACAAATGATTGTTGATTGATTTCTACTTTCTTAATTATCGGATTGACAAAATTAAATTTCCAAATTCACTTTTTAGCTTGCATTGAATTCCTAGAACTGCTATTACTCAGCATTAATTATATTTTATATTTATATGAAAGAAATATTAATATATAAATATATTAATAATTAAAACTTAATATCATCAGTCTTTGGAAAGCGACAGAGCTAAATATCGAATCCACAATCGATAGGTCGAATAGCGAAAGACGATCTGTCAGTGGGATAAGCAGACGATATTTACAGGAATCATACGGTAAGTGGACAGTGGGCAAAATGGTGGCAGATGAGAAATTGTTTTTCTCGAAAGCCGTTCAACATTTGGCTAGATGTTTAGCGGCGATCAAACCTACACCATGGGAAAAGGTGCGTTGATTATTGATTATGTATTCCACATTAACGTGATATTTACGCATTAGTAAAAAATTTGACATTTTATTAGAATTAGGTTAATTTTAAGGACGTGTCAGCTGATATCCTGATATGTCATCTCATGATATAATTCGAAGGACAATCTAGTAATCACCTCACGCATTAATGAAACGTTTGCAGTTGATCATTAACGTCATTAGATTGCTAAACAAATGATTTCTAACATACGTTTCAGACATAATTCACTGTTTAAGAAATTGTTTTTGTAGATGTAATTTTGCAAATAAAAAATTGCATGACATGTATATGTTTTTCTATTTAATAATAATTTTTGTATTTCGATTAATTCATAAAATTTATTTCATCTATTAATTTATGAATCCATACATGATATAACATATAAATGAGTTTAAGAATTTTAGTAACTAATCAGATATAGAATATATTTAAACTAAATATTATTTATATAAACTAGATTTTTATGTGACTAACTTGTATATGTATATATGCATTTGGTATTAAATAAAGTTTCTTTTATAATGTGTATTATATATCTGATTTATCATCTTTTTTTTAACACAGGTTACACAGTTATTCAAGTTATGCCCACAAGAATCTGCTCAAGGTATATATAGATTGGATCAAAGAGGACAAGATGCAACTATTGCATTGGGAATATATTTTCTGGAATCTGGTTTACAACATCGAGATAAAATATTACCGTACCTTCTACGATTACTACGTGGTCTTCCAAAAGCTGTATGGTTGGATGAGGTCAAATGTTCACCTAGTGAACGCATTCCTGTTGCTGAGCGCTTTAGTTTCTGTTTGAACACATTGCTCAGTGATGTTGCAGCTAGATGTGAACCTGTACGCGAGGAGATCATTTCTACCCAAGTAGAAATACTGGCAGTTTTAACAAATCTCATTAGGGGATTTAGAGATCAAAATGGCAATAGAGGAATGCAAGCAAAATGTAAAATTTTCTTTCTATTATCAATTGCACCTTAGTTGCAATTATTTTATAATAATTTTTTAATAACTTTACTTTAGTTGTAATTACATATAATGTAATTATTTTTTTTTTTCTTTCAGTGTCATTATGCAAATGTCTAGTTCCAGTATTAATTGGTTTAGCCCGTTCTATGGGCCGCTTTGCTTACACCGATCCACCTCTTTTATGTCGAATTTTTCCGAGACCGGAACAACCCCTTTCCATACCAAACACAGAAATGCGCTTAACATTGGATAAGAAACAGCACAGTTTCTCAAACTTTCGACCGATTATTCCTCGGTCTTTAAGTGGTAACTTGAATCCTCATCCAACAATAGACACTGCACCAAATCTGCTAACTGGCGATCACGACTATCCTTGCGTCAAACGACCATCTTTGCAATCTTATTCATCGGTGCCCTACGATCCGGCCACATATTTTTTTAGTCGATATGGATCAAGTTTCAATCAGTTCCCACAGATGAGATGCAACGAAAGCCCTGAAAGGAGGGCTGGTATGCAATTTAATGTGGTGCATTTACAAAGTGTACTGGCTTTGGCAAAAAAGTTGCTCACTAAAGAAATTTTAACGTTCCTCGATGAGGAAGCTCAACAAGTTAGTTGCGTTGTTTTGTAGTATTATGTTCTCAATATTTAATAATTTTTTAAATTATTTTAAAAAATTTTAATTATTTAAATTATTTTAAAAAATTTTAATTATTTAAATTATTTTAAAAAATTTTAATTATTTAAATTATTTTAAAAAATTTTAATTATTTAAATTATTTTAAAAAATTTTAATTATTTAAATTATTTTAAAAAATTTTAATTATTTAAATTATTTTAAAAAATTTTAATTATTTAAATTATTTATTTTTTTCTCTAGGTTTACAACTCCGGACAGGTGCAAATATTTCCTTATCGAACATTTAACGAGACAATGAATCTGGTAATGGTCGCTCTTCTACGGGAATTGTTGCAAAATCAACGCGATTTGCCTACTCCTTTCACAAAGGACGTACAAGAGTTCGTGAAAGGTCTCTTTTTATCCGGCCAAACCGAATTACAATCACGTCAACACGATGCAAGCGAACGGGAAGATATGGATACTAACTTCAGAACTGTAAATAGATTTAAAGTAAATGTCATGGCTAATTCTGCGTGTGTTGATCTTCTTGTTTGGGCAATTGGTGATGAAACTGGTAAGTGAGACTATATATCAACGAATGAATTAAATATATGTAGTTTGAAAAACCAAATACAAATATTTTTGATAATTTTGTTGTTTTAATTATTAAATTATTTAAATCAAATTCTTCTGTGTTAGTAGGATTATCTATAGATCATATACGTTATTTTTCCAGTGAGAGACCAGTATGATTTGTCCGCGCTATTCGCAGATATCAGTTCGATGCTGATTGGCGAGGGTATTCGAATTTAGCTTATATTGCATTTCGATTGATTTTCCCATATCATTAATAACCATCAATATTTTTAACTAACGAGTAAAAAACCTTCTAGTCTGATAGTGCGTTCACGCGGTTCTCCCGTTACCCTCATGGTCTAATTGTTGTTCCACTAAACGTAATTCTCTTAGCTGATTCTAACTGTTTGTTGGACTATTAATGCAAAAATGAACAATGAACATTTCATAGACAAAATCATTATTATGACATATATACGTATTTCTATGTATTGCTGTTTTAAATTATTATTATTGAGAAATTAATTTCCATACAGAACTCTTCGTTCAGTTGTCCAACTTCTGAATAACAGTGTGCATATATTGGCAAACATTATTCATGGAACTAAATATTTCCAGGTGCGGATAGTTTATGTGGTCGTTTAGTTGAAAAGATTAACTCTAATCATGGACCAAAACTGGTGCTGGCACATATGCCTTTACTAATGGTATGCCTTGAAGGATTAGGAAAATTAGCACAAAAATTTCCTAACATAGCGAGTACATCTATATATTATCTTCGGGATTTTCTTGTTGTCCCGTCGCCTATATTACTTAAATTACACCGTCAACAAAGTGAAAGAGGTAGCATGATATTACAAATAACTGTATTTATATGACAATGTTACATTGTAATTAATGAGAAAATTATTCTTTTTAAGGGAAAGATATGCAAGATTCGAAACAAACTACTTCGTCAATACAGACAGCTTTCGAAAAATTACGCGATGCGGCTATTGGCAACCTTTGCATCGCTCTGGAAGCTGCTCATTCTGTGAATCCAGATTGTGTACCGGCATTAGTTGCCAGTGTTTCGAATAGATTATTTGCGGCCGATATATGTGACGGGTACTACATATATTGTTCACTTTATGTTATCAATTTCCAACAATTTATATCTTCGATCTTGCGATATCTCAATTATTTATTTCAATACTTTTAGTGAATCCGATGACAGGTCGAATAGCGAATTAATTTCGAAAAATATAGTAATCATGTTGGGGCATGTTGCCGTTGCGTTGAAAGATACCCCAAAAACTATGCGTACAATATTCCCGTTTTTTCAGCAATTATTTTGTCGTACTCCGAGTGATCTTGATTTTCTGATCGTGGATCAGTTAGGATGTATGATCATTGCGAAATGCGAATCAAAGGTTCAGTTTAAGATCAATTAGTAATTACCGATTAAATTGGTAAACAGCTTCACATATATATTACAGTGTAATGTAAGCTTCAGAAGAATATATTTTGTTTTAGATATACGAAGGTATAATGCAAATGTTTTCCATGTCACTGGGCTCCAGTACTGCAACTTATGCTTCGAACGATGATCGTAAACAATATTGTCACGTAGCTAAGGCAGTCACAAATGCTCTTGCAAACATAGCAGCAAATCTTCAAGGTGAATCAGAATTGGACGATTTACTACTCCACTTGCTTGAACTTTTTGTTCAACTCGGGCTAGAGGGTAAACGTGCCAGTGATAAGGCGTCAAATAACGTTTCAGTAACGGTAATTAAAGTTGATAATTCAAATAATAG